GTGTAGCTCCAATACTTTACAAAGGTTTATCGGTGGCTGGCTCAGCCAATGAAGCCGGCAGCAAGGAACTGCACTTTTATTCTTCGAGCGGTGGAAACGCAGGACTAGCCTGTGTACATGCCGCCGTCACACTCCAGTCTCGGGCGACGATTGTCGTACCCATGAGCACGACTGCGTACATGATTGCCAAGATCCGCGCTGCAGGCGCCGAACAGGTCATCCAGCACGGCAACTCCTGGGTCGAAGCCGACGACTATCTCAGACACACACTCATCCCCGCGGCGCTCGAAAAGGGCGAAGAAGCAATCTATGTGCCGCCGTTCGACGACCGCAAAGTCTGGGATGGGAACGCCACCATGATCCAAGAAGTCTTTGAGCAATTGGGACCTGATGCTTCACCCCCAGACGCTCTGATCTGCAGTGTAGGTGGCGGCGGCCTTTTCTGCGGCATCATGCAAGGCCTCGAAAGTGCCGGGTATCCTCATCTCCAGGTCCTGGCCGTGGAAACAGAGGGCGCTCATTCACTTGCACTATCTCTCCAAGAAGGCAAACTCTCTACCCTCCCCGCCATCACCAGTATCGCTACGAGCTTGGGCGCGCGAACGGTTGCAGCACAGGCGTTTGCATATGCGCAACGCGAGTCGGTGCGTAGTGTTGTGCTGTCGGATGAAGTGGCCAAGGAGGGTTGTGTCCGGTTTGCAGACGATGAGAGAATCATGGTGGAGCCGGCGTGTGGTGTCTCCCTGGCATTGTGCTATCAAGGCAGGCTGAGGAAGCTTCTACCACATCTGAGAGAGTCGAGCAGAGTAGTTATTACTGTCTGTGGAGGTAGCAACATCACTGCTAAAATGCTGGGCGATTGGTCCTCATCTATGTGAGCTTGCATGTCCGGACTACTACTAAGCCTTCGCCAAACCCAGTCATGGCTGTTGTGATGTAGTTGCTCTTTATGAGGATTTGGTTAGGTGGCTGAATGCGTTGCCGTGGCAAGCGTTAGATATCCTGTTTAATGGAGGTCCTTCCAAAGATAACATTAAAGCCTGCTGTTTGAGACAAGAAGGGGCGTGAAAGTGGAAGGCGAATGAGATCAGCGTGAGGACAAGAGCATCTCGTTTATAGGCAATCAGCTGACGCTTGCTCTTCCTTAGAGGGTATTTGGGAAGGAGACTGGTAAGAGGCTGCTGTGTACATGTTTACTCTTAGTTAGTATACGCGGACAGTCTATAAACTTGGAGTCGTCTTCACATAGTGGAAATATGTCGATCTAGCGCAGATTGCACAAGTGCAATGGCTGAAAGCAAGAGCTCAAGGATGAATCGCCAATGACAAGCCCATGAATTGGAAAAATCACAGCCTGTAAGCTACCAAAGCCTCCATCAGCAGAGTCTACCCTACCACCCAGCCCACTCACAACCTCGACCACTCCCTCCCAGCAAGCTTCAACCCCTCCTCCCCATCAACAAGCACACACCACCCCTCCGTCCCCCCACCTCCGTCCCCCCCAATCGCCGCCTCAAAGTTCGCCCTCGCATATGCCAACACCTCGTCATCAAAACTCCCCGGCTGCAACCACACCGCAGGAACACCAGCCTCCTTAGCCTCCTTCAAAAGCTGCCACGTGACCGCCGGTGGCGTAATCACTGACAGCGAGTACGCAGATGCCGGCGGGTCAGTCAGTGCCTTTGGTGACGCAACGGTGGTGTGCTCGCGTTGGAGTATATTGACAGTTGGGACGCGCGGGTTAATCGGCGTCACGGGTAGGGAGTGCCGTAGGTACCATGCAAATACTGTGTGTGTGTGTGTTATTTGCGTCAGCTCGGTATTCGCAGCGATGCATAATGATGTGTTGGAAGCGTTTGTGGCTTACTTTTGTGGCCGTACTTGTTGGGGTCAGAGGATGCGCCTGCGACGGCGAAACGCGGGGAAGAGAAGAATGTCTTGAGTGCTGCTTCCATGTCTGCTTCGCGGTTCTGGCTTCTTGTTGTTGGCATGTGAGGATTGGGAAATTGAGGGACTCTTTGTTGTGGTTGGTTCTTATTGTGGTCGGTTTGGTCGGAGGTTGAGATCGTTACTGTGCATATGATATGGGCTTTTGATACCGAGGTATGTTCTGAAGTTGCGTCATCGCTTAGACGCATAATTTAATCTAGCAGAGACACGTTTGAGGTGCAAGTTGATCGCAGAATTGTGTTGTATGTGCAATGATCATACGTATCTACGGCTTTATTTCCCCTTTAACATATTGATACGACTACTTGATCGGAGTTCATGATGCCTTGGAATCATTCCTTCACACAGCTACTTCTACTAATTTACGATCATGTGATCGTATCACTCATCGCATGCCCATGTCGCAAAGCGGATGATACTCATCACCAACAACTGATCAGGGCAAAACACAATTCATGGAGCGCGATGTTGGCATCACATTCCAAACCCCAGGTTCCATGTCCACGCCATAACTACTCTAGACCAGTGACATACTCTACAACTAATCAAAGTCATCTCAAAACCGCATCCAGAAATACCCGGTCCTTGTGCATAGCTGCAACACCAACGCAACACAAGCCATTTCCCAATACAAGCTCTAGATGAAGGAGAAAAAAAAATCATATCGCCGATTGATATGCCAGCACCTACATCGGGGGATGTGTACTGAGCATGACAGCGACTAGGGTGCTGTGGTTGGTGATTGGTTGATGAGTGGTCTGATAGCCATCTGCAGTGAATTTGTGATGAATTCGTAATATGTTCATGCAGGTGGGTGTGTAATAGAGGGCTATGGTAGGGCTGTGTAATTGCAAGGCCTAGACCCGGTCAACGGGTGAGAAACGAATATTACCCAGAGTGTGAATAATAGGATGATGATCTACTCATGCGCTCGGGTAGTTTGTGAGTCACGTGTTTTGCCACTGCGTGCCAGGTGGTATTGAGCGTGGCGATAAACCAACACCATGCAGTGAGGAGCGTAGATAGCCAAATTTTGCGGTAGATTTAATAGATTCTACTCTGCTAACTATAGAAGTTATTATTACCTTAATTATCTATTACTTTATAAAGTTTTACCTAAAAGCTATAAGTCTCTATATTAATTACTAACTATAGTAGCTATTACTATACCTCTATAATCTAATCCTTAATATACTATTATAATAGTATACTATAGTATTAAGTTATAAGCTTCTTAAATAGATCCTTTAAGTAATCCTAAATTTATTTAATATAGTTAAGATCTAGTAATATAGATAGCTATACTATAGTTTTAATCTAGCTACTATACTAAGTAATTTTAGCCTCTAATAGCCTCTTTACTTTAGTATAAGGTAAGGTGTTATCTTTAATAATATATATAATATAGCTAGTCTATTATAAAATTTAGTAGGTGTATAAGTATAGTAATAGCTTTAAAACCTGCTTATAATACTAGTACTAATTAATACCTCTAGCTTTACTATTATTTCTAGTCTCTAGCTTACGCTAGAAATACTATTCTAGGTAACGTAGTCTATACAGGTAGCTACTAGGTAAAGGATTTACGCAATCTTAAAGGCGTATATTAGCGTTAAGCTCCTATAGAGCGTAGTGTTATTATATACTAGGTATTATTATAGCTACCTAATTATAAGCTATAAGGTTAAGGTTTTCCTAGTAAAAGTAAAGGTTAGTATTATCCTTATTAATAGAAAGCAATAGAATATTCTATAGATAGTTTAGTAGGCAGGTTAGTAGATTAATAATAATTGCTACCTACCTTACTACCTACCTTACTACCTACCTACTAATATTAACACTATTTTATACCTAATTATTATACCTTATAGCCTTATTATTTACCTATACTTTCTCTAGAGTCTCTTTTTTCTATATATAAAATAGTCCTAGTTAGAAGCCCTTATAAACTACGCCCTAAAATATTACACTACTAAAGTTTTTAGGTAGTAGGTAGCTTAAATTAAATAGATTAGAACCTTTAAGCTAGCTTACCTTTTACTACTAATAGTAGTAATTATAGTTAATAGAGGTTTTATTAGTAAATATAAATATTACGCCTATTAGGGACTCCCTAAGTGCCTACTCTATAAATATTAATTAATTAAGTTAGTATTAGGTATTAAGTTAAGGCTTTTAAGGTAGTATAGTTTAGGTAACCTCTTCCTACTTTAATACCTTGTAACCTATAGTATATAGTATATATACCCTAAGCTTATTACTTACTTTATTAATAATATACTAATAAGGGGTCTCCTAGTTATTATTACTTACTACTATCTCTACTAAGTGTGAAGGACTTAGGCTTATGCCCAAGCCTGGGTCTAACACAAGATGGACCAAGTCTAACACTACTACTAAGCGAACACACTAGACACCTATAAAAAGGCGTAGAGGGCTTATCTCTCCTTTAAGATACTAAATACTATTATTAACGCTTATTATATTCTCCCTTAAGGCTAGTCTATAATATTTTAGTATCTTCTTTTAAATATACTATAATAGTAATAAGAGATAGACGCGCTAGATATTTAGAATAACTAGGTGCAACCTAATATAGTAGAAAGGCTAATATAATAGGTCTATAGATTAATAGAATAATAGGCTTAAGACTCTACTATAATAGCTATACTATATTAATAGAATAAGGAAATACGCAATTAGATTCTATCCTAACCCTCCTCTAAGCCTGCTAGGTTTAATAATATACTACCTCTACCCTCTCCTACCTTATATTATAAACCTTTCCTAGTTAGCTTACTATATAATAGTACTAAGGTAAACTTCTCCTTCTAGTAAATAACTATAGAGTTTAAACTGCGTGTAGATAAGGTCTTTATTAGAGATAAGGAGGTAAGGTTTATATATATTTAGTCCTAGTTATTACTTATAGTCTAGTGCGCTATAGTACTATACTTTAAGGATAGTACACGCAAGCGTTAGGATATAAGCAGGTTTCTTAAGTACCTAGTATTTTATTATAGCAACTATTATAGGCAGGAGCGCGCCTAAGTTATATTAGAATACTTATATTAGGGCTAAAATTAGCCTTTTATAGAGTTTTTTATAAATTTTATATAGCTCCTTATATAGTTAGGAGGTTTATACTAGGATAATAAATAAAAGCTTTTATAACTTTAGTAATCTCTTAATAGTTATATACGCTTAGTTTCCCTTAATAGGGGAGTCTCTAGGATAAACTATAATATAGCTATAGAGGAATATAAGATAATTATAGTAGATATTAAAATAGCCTCTCTAGAACTAGGCTTTCTTTAGGCTAGTAAGTCTAAGGAACCCTAGTAGAAGTCTAACTTAGATTAGGATAGTAATATAAATATAGTAGAAGTAGTAGCCTTATTAAGTACACCTACTAAACTACTAATATTACGCCCTAACTAGATCCTATAGGACCTATTTAATATATAGAAACTAGTAAGGGTCTATACCTAGTATAGATAGGGTAGTTATTTTATACGTGTATACCCTAATACCCTATTACTATAACTAGTAGGTGTTAAGATAGTTATAGTATTAGTAAGTGGCCCTAATTTAGGAAACTAGCTACCCCTTATAATAACTTAGGTAGGTAGGGCATCCGAAAGGTATCCTATACGACTCAAAGGCATATAGGAGTGCGCGTCTATACAGAAAAGGATAAGATTCCTACACCTATAGGTCTTGTACAAAAGGACAAGAAGAATATACCTATCCTAACTATAGGCGAGCTATTCTCTATATATATAAGTAAGTTAGGCCTTTATTAGGCCTAACTTAGTATAGAATAATAGGCAGGTAATTCTACCTTATTATTACACTACCCCCTCTTATAGAGAAAGGATAGTCCCTATCCTTAGGATTAGGTTTAGATCCCTTATTAAAGAAGAGCTTTTTGCAAAATAAATCTACCTTTACCTCTACCTTTACCTTCACTTCTTCTTCCTAGGGCACAGACCCCTATCCTTAGCCTGCCTATAACTAGCCCTCTACCTACTAACTTTCTTATTCCTATATCCCTAATTTTTTAATTATTTAACCTAATCTATTTAAAATCTAGTAAGTATTTAATCTATATAATTAAATAGTTACTAATCTAAATTAGAACCTTTAGCTATACTAGTACTAGTACTACTAGGAGTCCTCCCTATTGCTTATCACGCTCTCTATATAAGAGTAGTTAGGGCTCTAGCTAGGGGCAGGTTTAATAATTTTAATTTTAAGTTAAAGAATTCTAAGAAGTGCTAGTACTATATCTCCTAGAATAAGTATTGTAATCTAGTAAGTATCTAAGTCTAATAGGGTTCCTTTACTAATCCTAGTAGATTCCTTCTTTTGTTAGCCTAGAGTACTTTACCCTTAGGGGTGCTCTAGATAAGTACTATAGCCTAGTAGCTAACCCTACTAAAGGGGATAAGGATAAGGATACTATAGTTACTTATTAGAAGAATATTAAATAGTTTAAGGCTACTATTTAAGAAACTACCTAAAACCTTACTAAGTGCGTTACTATTACTAATACTTAGACTAAGGGTATAGAAGCTACTAAGATCCTTATAGCTATATATTATACTACTATATCTAATTTATATTAGCTTTAGAATAGTATCTATAAGATAGTCTTAGTAGTTAGGGGCTTAATAAAGGCTATAAAAGAACTTAAGGAGGAATTAGCACTAAATTAGGAGGTAACCTTTTTAGTGTAGGCTAAGATAAAGGTATTTTATAAGAAGGAATCTAAATTAGTCCTAGCTCCTACTACTACTCCTGCACCTGCTCTAATCCCTGCTGCACTAGTTATCTAGAAGCTAGCAAAGAAGGATAGTCTAGGCGCTATCTTAGCTAATATAGAGTCTAAACTAGGTTCTAATAGAGAGATAGATATAGAATAAAAAGGTTTCCTAGGGGTAGTGTCCTAGGAACCTTAAAGGTTCTAAATAGGATATAATAATAAATAGTAATAAGAATAATAGTAATAGATAGTAGTTAATAAATAATATATAGCTAAATAGGATATAAATTAGTTCTAATATTAGGTATAATTATTATAAAGTAATATTAGATCCTCTTTACCTTTTTCCTAGGCTTAAATCTATTTTAGTAAGCTATATAGGGGACCTAGCTAATTTAGATACTATTAGTAGAATGCCTATAATTTATAGGGAGCACCTATAAAGTTAGAGGTAGGATACTAAATAGGATTAGGATTATATCTAACCTACTTAACCTTATATTTTAGCTTAGATTAATATAATTTACTAGCTAGGATTTCTTCTACCTCCTATTCCTTTATACCTTGTATAGGGGTACTAGGGGGTTTTAGAGCCTCTTATCTAGGTAGCAGGTCTTAGGGATCTTTATATAGTATATTAGGAGAAAAAATATTATAAATCTTAGAACTAGGTAGTAATTAGAGGCAATACGCGTTTCCTACTTATTCTAATACCTTAAAGGGGCCTTCCTATTATTTAGATAGTTTTTAGCTAGGTTATAAAATAACAAGATTAGTAGTAGATAGATAAATATAGTTACTAACCTTCTAGTTAACTAGGTAGTAATAGCAATTAGTAGTAGAGCGTATTTAGTCTTAAGCTCTTTCTATATT